CTTGCCCACTGCATCAGCGCATCCGTTCATTTGGCCACCTGGACGGCATCGTCGAAGTCGCGTGGCATCGTACGTCACACCTCAAACTGTATTTAGGCCTGCGACATATTTGTCGAGTCACTCCGCATCACCCATATCGTCCACTTGGTTGGCCAACGCGCAGAATGTTGCTGTTTAGTCTTGGACCGATGTCAACTGCTTCCAGGCACGCAACTTCATGCGGGCAGAATCCGAGGTGGATACATGCTCGAATCTGGCTCACAAGGCGGCGTCCCACTCCTTCCATGTGCGCATCGTGGCCACTTTGAAGATCAATGTTGCCTGTTGCGAGACAGTTGTCCAGGTCCCGTCGTTCGCACGTGATATTCCCGCTGGAGCCTTCCTCTGACTGTAGTGTGCAGCGCCACCACTCCAACGCCGGTCCTTGTAACAGCGACACTGCAAAAATAGTGCGGGTGGCATCATCAGCAATTTGCGCAACATTAAAGAAAACTTCCACGCCGAACAACTATGCAGACACAGTGACGCCTTTGTCGCTGGGGTTGAACAGGAGCCTTGTAGCTCGCTGAGTACGACCCCGTTGAGCGATGAGCTATTGCTCACTTCATCGACGGCGAGCGACTCCTGACGCGCTTCACCTCGCGCCTGGCGTAGCTCGGCGTTTTCTTCCCTCATGCGCCCGACCTCTTTAGACATAGTCTGCAAGTTGGCTTGCATCGCGCGGAACTGTTGCATGAACGCGTCAAACTCGGTCTAATTCATGTTTCTCAGGCTTCGCCTACTGGGCAGAAGGTCTACATCGATTTTTATGACTTTGATGAAGGCGCAAACACTAACGTAGTCGGAGCGAAATAATCGTATCTATTTCTCAGCCGACCACTCTGCAGCCCACCAAGTCTATCGCACCCTGTCACTAAACTACCCCGAAAACGCGGGGGAAACCTGGAAAAGTAGCTCTTATACCAAGTGTTATGAGTTATTGTAAGAAGAGTGCGCAGAATGCAATATCGCGGAAGTGATTACAACTACTGCCAGAATAATGAGACATAACACAAATATAGCGAGGGCTAGCTAGGTCGAGATCGCGGGACCGCGCAAGGTTGGGTGGAGGTTTGGGGTTAGAAAACCCGAAGGCGACACGAGGAACGTTCGGAGGCGAAGTCGGTGGACCGGGCATGAAACTCCGATAGTTGGAGTTGTACGCGCATAATGTGCCTGAGTAAGGAATTAGGCAAAATTCCTTACAATTGTGGGGCCCTCGTTATGTAAGCTTCCGGTTTTCCTCACCGCGCACGCCACTCCAGCCAACAAACCGAGGCCTTGTTCGGCAGGCGCATCAAGCAAAGGCTCGGGTCAGCTACAGTGTGACGACCACCCGAGAAGCTTCTGAGATAAGCGGGTGACCGACTAAGGCCCGGGACAGGCGCATGAGCACCGAAGCGAACTGGTGCTGAATGACTGACGAACGGTCTTTTTGGCCCCCGGTTTGGGAGCCGAAACCTAGTTCCTAGAACCTTTCTCCCCTGGCAAACCGACGCACCACTGATACGCGCGTGGTACGTCGTAGAAAGGTAGCATCCATGCGCGCATCACTAATGAGGGGCAGCATAGAAGATTCGTCAGAGTTTTTCCAGCCTTTGGCGGTGTTCGCCAGCACATTTGAAAGCAAATGTGGCCGTATAACGACGGGATCAGGAAGGTGGGTCTCGCCTTCCTGATCCCGTCAGTTAGGGTTCGTTAAGCTCCGTCAGCCTGGTCAGCCCGTGAAAATGCTGCCGAGCCTAGGATGCCGTCCGAACCAAATTGAATCTTTGGGTCCTGGCGAACGCCCACACTTTTCTCAAATTTCAGAAGCCACCACGGCATTCGGAAGTGGGGAAGCAATTTCCTCCCCGGGCAAACGAGAGTCCCATGCCATCCCATGGCAATCCACCATTTCACGGTGGATTGCCGTGGGATGGCGATGTCATTGGCTGGAAGGTGGAAGGTGGGGTGGCTGGTTCATATGCGGTTGTCTCGTTTCCCATTTGGGGGCAGGAAATTTCGCGCGTGGCATTGCGCCCAGCCCTATTCGGAGGGTTCCGGCCCCGCTTCCAGATGCCGTGGCCATTCCGATGGCCTCGTTTTTCTTCCAATCTCAAATATGCTGGCGAACAGCGCCTTTGTATTTAGCGCTAAGTGCCAGAGATCAAACCCCGCCAAATTAGGGTTGAACACGCTGGATTTATTGAGGCGGTGTTCGGGAGAACCAGAGGAAGAGGAGTGTACACCGTATGATCAGGCCTCTCGATGTGTTTTTGGGCACCCTGCCAGAAGCGAGTCGTGGCCGACCTTCACCCTGCCACTGCAGTGTGCCAATCGCGGCATACTCAGGAAATGGCAGGGTGTTTTGTATTTTCTTGTCGGAACTGGCAGGGTAGAAATCTCGCTAACACTGCTGAGCTCTGCAGACCCGCTCTGAGCAGGACTTCGTCAAATTACAGCCTGTTCCGTCACTGAGCGAGCTTAGCGTGTTAAAGGGACTTAACTAAGTCTCCAGCGTGTCCCAGCGACAAGACAAAATTCTGGTGTGTTTCTGTGACTCGCCGAATTTCGTAAAGCTTGAGTGACTTCGCCGAATTTCCAGTGAACCGGTGATGTCGAAGGTCGTCAACCGGTGATGTCGAAGGTCGTCAACCGGTGATGTCGAAGGTCGTCATCCTGCAGAGATGTCAGGTACCTTACCTGGTTGACCAAGTTACCTGCTCGACGAGGTGCGCGAAGGTGTGCGAACGTCGTCGAGGCTGCTGTGGCAAAGTCGACCGACGTGGCAGCACGTGGTCGACGTGGCTCATCATGTGCAACCGTCAGCATGTGGCTGACAACCTGCGCAATGTACTTGACAGTGCACGCTGTGCAACTGTCTACAAGCACCTGCGAAGTAGGTGCTTGCACATGCGCTTACAATCACCTGCGGATGCAATGTTGGCAAGCCGCGCGGATGCTGCGTTGGCAAGCCGCGCGGGAGCAGCGTTGGCAGGCCGCCATCTGCAGCACTGGCAAGTCGCGTACGAGCTGCGTTGGCGGATCGCGGACTTGCTTCGTTGGCAGGTCGACGACTTTGTCGTGCTGGCAGTCGACCTGCCTGAGTGCTAGCAAACCTTGCATGTGATGTAGTCAGTCTTTGCCATTGCATGCTTTTTCTGAACTCTGTTATTCTCCAATTTCCTTAGTGAAACTCTTGCTGTTTTGCCCTGTGAAAACACAAGTCCTAGAGAACACAGACAGAGCTATGATCACTCCTACAACCAGTGCCCATCCTATAGTCTAGCTCCCACCGTTGTAGAGTTTATCTCCTCACTAGTGACTTGGGCGGATTTCCAGAGTGCTTCAGTGACTTAGCCACATTTCCAGTGTGTTTCAAAGACTTGGCAGCATTTCCAGAGTTTCAGTGTCTTAGCCAAATTCTCTGACTTAGCTGAAATTGGAGAGCACGAGAGTTCGACTCTCAAGGACTCCTTAGCAGGGTAAAAATGACTTAGACTCGGAAAAGGCAGGGCTGACTGGATGCTCTCACATGGAATTGAAGGGTACGGTTTTACTCATGTCAAGGCGTGTCAGGGCGGTACAAGCGTCGAAGTCAATTTCAGCAGGGTGACCTTAAAAATTCACTCTGAAAAACAGGCTAATCAGGGTAAAATACCCTGACTTCCTGGGGCCTGCGTATGATCCAGAGGATGAATAGTACTAGGCTCGGGGGCCAAAAAATCGCGTGCGACCCCCTTGCGACCACTTTCGTGACCAAACCTCGCGGTTTGGAAACATCAACCTCAACTTCTCCTCTGAAGCGGCTCGAGATTCCGAGGCGCGGCCCCTAAAGTCCATTGACTGCACAGTAATCACAGGCAATTCTTTCCTCACTTTCTCCTCGCCATGCTCTAGCGAGGAGAAAGTGAGGCTCAGTACTCAAGAAAATTTGTTGGGCATCACCGTTTCAAATTCAAGATTACCCAGAGCAGACATGTACGAACGAGACTGTACCTACGTGTACACCCTCCAAGACACAATCCACACTATCCATAGCTTGGATTAGGGTTTCGAGCTAAGGAAGCGGAAGATGACCAGTCGAGAACGCCCTAACACATTTCCTGTTGAGTTGTATTGTTTATGTTGTTTTTAACTCGTGTTGCAAGGGTTGCTTCGGTTTAGAAAATACGTCTAGGGATGGTCAGCAAATGGGAAGGTGAGAATTCGGATGAGATGGTAGCCCCGATTTGGCATCTTGACCCCCGGCTTGCGGTGGTTGTCGTTTTTTCTCAAATTGCCCTCTAGATAGTAATGGGAATAGAGAGCACCATAACGTCAGCATCCTTTTTTTTAAAACGGAATAACAACCACTCTCCCTGCGTATCTTGAATGTGCAGATATTTGGCGCACTCATGGACAACGTGAACACAACTTTTTTCGTGCAAGGACGGCAGTGTGTTATCCTCATGGATAACGCTTCTTCCCACGCACTTGATGCTGCTGTTGGACGGGAGGAAACGCTGATGGGGATGCGGACGTTCAAAATGTCGAATGTTCGGATCATATATCTTCCTGCCAATACCACTACTTTCCTTCAGCCTTTAGATCAGGGCATCATTGCGACGTTGAAGATGCGATTCAGGCGCAGGTGGATGATGAAGCTTATCTCACTATTCGACCAAGGAATCAGAGGTGTGGAGCTGCAACGCGAAAAGCCCGGGGCAAAACTCACCGTCATTTGGATTGGACAGTCTTGGTCATCCATTGATGCTGCCACTGTACAGAAATGCTGGGCACGTACGGGGTGTATACCGTCCGTATGGCTGCCACAGATGCACCATGTGACATCACAGACCATGGATGAGGCAACTGTGATTTCACAGGGCGAAGTGCTGGATTAATCAATGGCTATTCAGAAGCTCAACCTTGCAGAGAGGGAAATGGGGCCGATGGAGTTTATAACTGTCGACGACCATCAGCCAACCTCGGAGCCGATGGCTCCGGGGCTGGTAGTGCTCTCAAATCTTGATGAGGACGAGGACGGCGTGCAGCCCGTTGAGGCAACGGCCACTACTGACCTTGACCGCTGCACACGCCGAATTGCGCGGCAGGCAACCGAGACCTTGGTGCAATTTGCACATGCCAGAGGCATTCTGCCCCGTGAGCTGCTAGAGCACCTCGAAATTGGCAACCCTGTCGTTATTGACCGTCTCGAGCGTGCTAGCAGGGTGATGGTCGATCTGAACATGCCCGCTGAAGACCGCACGGAAGAGGATTGGAACGCCTCTAACACCATTGAAGACGAGGCGGAACTGCTGGCTATGGCTCTGTTGGAGGTTGAGTGTGGGGGGAGGTTTGCCCCCAACCACCGAATGAAGCTCACATGTTGCGTGAGCTGCAGGTTTCGAAGTGAGTGGGTTGACTTCGGAAGACCCATCGATTCGGTGCCACATGGCAGCACCAGGAACATTCGAGACCCAAGGAGAATTCGGATCGGTGAAATTCGAGGGTCGAATTTCACCCCTTCGAAATGTTACTCGAACATTCGCGAGTGTACCGCGGTTCGAGGTTACATGTGCGACTCGATGTTTGCAGTTCATATAAAATTGTGTTGCTTTGTATTGCATGGATCATACTGAAATTGAGAATCACTTTGTAAGTGATACATTCGACTACAAAATCCAGAGAGCTCCTATCCTTTGTTCTAAGAGCACTAGCAAGCACATAAAAGCCTACAACTCCCTCGTTACTTGGGCGAATCGTGTGTTTGACGGCTCGTTGGAAAGCCAGCAGAGTGCTCTATCATTTAGTGCAGATCCCAGTTCCTGCAAGGTAGAGGAGAGTCCTTTACATCAGTGGTATCAGAGCTGGTCGGAGGAGTCTACGCGCGCGACGAGAAGCGAGCATGCCGACTTCAAGCGAGGCCTCCCGCACTTCCTTGGATGGTGTCGTTGTAAATTCCGGCGAACCCTGGGCAGCCGCGGCGATGTACGACACGTCGGCGGTACCGATTTTCACGGGACAAAACTACTCCGCGTGGAAGTTTAAGTTCCAAGTGCTCATGATGGAGCGGGGACTTTGGGGTCTCTTCGATGGGACGGAGAAGAAGCCGGACGACGAGAGCGACATCGCGGCTTGGAAGAAGAAGGACCAAAAGGCGTTCGCTACGCTAATCTCGCGGATCGGCATCAACCTCGTGAGCTCGGTGCGCACGTGCATCAAGCTCGAAGCGTCGGCGCATGAGGCGTGGAAGCGGCTCGAGACGATTCACGTAAACAAGACCCTCCATGGCAAGATCCTAGCCCGGAACGCGTTCTACACGGTGAAGTTGCGCGCGGGCGAATCGATGCACGAGTATGCGACTCGTGTGGAGGAACTTGGGGAAACGTTCGTAGACCTCGGTGGAACGGTCACGGAGGAGGATTGGATTTTGACCTTGCTTTGCGGTCTTCCGGAAGAGTGGTCGACGGTGATAACGACACTCGATAGCGTGCAAGACACTTGGACAAAGGAAACGGTGGTCGGTCGGCTTCTCCATGAGGAATCGCGTCGCCGACAATTCGCTAATGAGAGCGTGGAGACCGCCATGTTCTCCGGAGGGAGTTCCGGAGGAAAGTCCAAGTGGAGCAAGGGTGCGACGAAGAAGTCGTACGGTGGAAGCGATCGCGGCAAGGGGAACACATCAAACGGCGCGAGCAAGTGCCACTATTGCGGCAAAGCGGGACACTTTTGGCGAGAGTGTCGGAAGCGTCCGAGCGATTGGACTCCATCAAAGGCGCGGAACCAAGAGGGCAATGCGCACACGGCATCCGGCGAGGCGGATGATACAAGGGAGTCGATCGTGTTATTGGCCGGTGACGGGACCAACACTCCAAACGACGCGTGGTTCCTTGACACCGGCGCAACACAACACATGATGCACTCGGCATCATTCCTCACCAACGTTGGTGCACCCGTAGACGTCACGCGCGTCGTCTTCGGAAACGGCAAGTCGCTACCGGTGGTCGGAGTTGGGAGTACGCGTCTCATCGTCGATGGCGGACCGGTGGACATCACGAACGTGCTTCACGTCCCGGGATTGAAGGTGAATCTACTCTCCGTCACTCAACTCGCGAAGAAGGACGTGAAGGTCACCATCGATGGCGCGACGATGAACCTCTTTTGGAAGGGGAAGCAATTCGCACAAGGCGTTCTCAACGGAGAACTTTACCAACTCAAGACGCACCCGGGAGTGGCTTCATCCAACGTGGCGCAAGGTTCCAAGGCGACTCTCAAGGCGTGGCATAATCGACTTGCGCACGCCAACTACGACTCGGTCAAGGAGTTGGTCAACAAAGGACTCGCCAAGGGAGTCGACGTGATCGCCGGCGACGACGAGAAGGGCGTGTGCACGGCGTGTGTCGAAGGAAAAATGGCTCGCAAGCCATTTGGTAGCCGAACGTCACCCCTCGCTAAGGACCCGCTTGCGCTTGTTCACATGGACGTGTGTGGACCGATGCGGCATGCATCAAAGGGAGGAGCGCGGTTCCTCTTGGTGATGCTCGACGACGCGACGCGGATGTGTTGGACCCGACTCTTGAAGGCTAAGGGAGATGCGGCCAAGGCGATTCAAGAGTGGGCGCTCGAAGTTTGCGACGACGACAAGAAGCGGATCAAGTGTATTCGCACCGATGGTGGTGGCGAATTCGTGAACGCGGAGCTTGAGAAATGGATGAAGAGCAAGGGCATTAAGCACGACGTTACGACACCCTACACACCCCAACAAAATGGAGCGGCGGAGCGGCTTAATCGCACGTTGGTGGAAGCCGTTCGTTCACTACTTCAACACTCCAAGCTTGGGCACGAGTGGTGGGGAGAGGCGAGTGCGCTAGCGGCGTGGATTCGCAACCGTTTGCCGACAAAGGTACTCCCGGGAACGACTCCGTTCGAAGCATGGACCGGAACGAAGCCGAACCTATCCCGCCTACGCACCTTTGGATGCCTTTGCTACTACCATGTCCCGGATCCTCTTCGCCACAAGTTGCAACCGAAGGCTCGTGCGGCAATCTACTTGGGAGTTGCGGCAAACGAGCGTGCGTGGCGAGTGTGGGACTTGGCGGAAAGGCGCGTCGTCACATCTCGAGACGTGGTCTTCGACGAAGACAAGTTTCCGACGAAGGAACAACCAACGCCGCAACTCACCGTCGTACTTCCCGCACGAGAGGAGGATGAGGCGGTGGAGGTTCCATCACAAGCGGAAAAGGAAGCCGAGAATGGAGAGGGAGAGAACGAGGAGAGCGATGACGATGTCGTGGAGGTGCCACCAACCGAGGAGGCAACTTCCTCCGCACCTTCTTCCCTACCATTGGCGTTGACCCGTGGGCGTCGTACACCTCGCCCCAACACGAAGTTAGCCGACTACGCTACGGTAGCCGTTGGGGAGTTGGATGAGGAGCGTGCGGCATATTGCTTCGCAACCATGGGAGATGACCCTCGCACCCACACGGAGGCTTTGGCTTCTCCGGATGCACCCCTATGGAAGCAAGCGATGGAGAAGGAGCTAGCATCGATCAAGGAGAACGATGTGTTCGAGCTCGTCGATCCGCCGAAGGGTGCCTACTTGGTGGGATGCAAGTGGGTGCTCAAGAAGAAGTTGGGAGCCGATGGGAGTGTCGAACGCTACAAGGCGCGGCTTGTAGCTCAAGGGTACACTCAACGGGAGGGGGAGCATTATAGTGAGACCTTCGCTCCCGTCGCCAAGGCTCCAACTCTTCGAGTGTTGCTCGTGCTAGCGGCATCGCTTAACCTCGAGGTGGAGCAATTGGACGTTTGCACCGCCTTCCTCTACGGGCTTCTTATGGAAGAAGTCTACATGCGGCAACCCCCGGGGTACGATGACGGTAGCGGAAGGGTGTGGAAGCTCAAGCGTACCCTCTACGGCTTGAAGCAAAGTCCACGCGGATGGTACAAGCGCATCGACGACTTTCTTCTTCAACACGGCTTCGCGCGTAGCGAGTGCGATAGCGCTTTGTACGTGTTGAAGGAGGGGGAGAAGCAATTGGTGCTTTTGCTCTACGTCGATGACTTACTCCTCTTCTCCGACTCCAAGGACCTCATTCGGGAGGTCAAGCAACGGCTCGGGGCGGAGTTTGCTATGAGGGACTTGGGGCCGGTCACGTACTACCTTGGGATGCACGTTGACCGTGACCGAGCCAACGGGACCATCCACCTCCACCAAGAGAAGTATGTGAAGGGGGTAGTGGAGAGCTTCGGCATGGGCAATAGCAAACCGGTGGGAACACCACTAGCTACGGGGTTCTCTTGCCTCACGGGAGAGGAAGAATCCACCCTCGATGAAGCCGAAGGGAAGCGGTTTCATTCGCTAGTGGGCTCGCTCATGTATGCCGCCGTTTCTACTCGTCCCGACCTCGCATACGCCGCCGGGGTGCTTGGACGAGTCGTGAGCAACCCTCATACCGAGCATGTGCGTGCGGGAGGACGTGTTCTACGCTACCTCCAAGGCACACCTAACTTGGGGCTCGTGTATGAAGCCGGCCCGATTGAACTCAAGGGCTATGCCGACTCGGACTACGCGGGAGATCCGAGCACGCGCAAAAGTACCTCCGGGTACGTCTTCACCTTGCTTGGGGCAGCCGTGAGTTGGCAAAGCAAGAAGCAACCAACCGTGGCTCTAAGCTCAACGGAAGCGGAGTATATGGCACTCACTCAAGGTGCCATGGAGGCGATATGGTTAAGGCGTCTTCTAGCGGAGCTTGGGCATCCTCAAACGAAGCCAACTCCTCTCTTTTGTGACAACCAAGCCGCCATAAGCCTCTCTCACAACGCCGTACTTCACGGGCGAACCAAGCATATCGAAGTGAAGCATCACTTCATTCGTGAGGCGGTTGAGAAGGGTGAGGTCAAAGTCACATATGTGAGTACCAAAGCTCAACCCGCGGACTTCCTCACCAAACCACTCCCTAAGGATTCATTCCGTGCATGCTGTGAGCGTGTTGGATTGAACTTCTAGTGGCTTGGGTGCAAGGGGGAGTGTTGGAGGTTGAGTGTGGGGGGAGGTTTGCCCCCAACCACCGAATGAAGCTCACATGTTGCGTGAGCTGCAGGTTTCGAAGTGAGTGGGTTGACTTCGGAAGACCCATCGATTCGGTGCCACATGGCAGCACCAGGAACATTCGAGACCCAAGGAGAATTCGGATCGGTGAAATTCGAGGGTCGAATTTCACCCCTTCGAAATGTTACTCGAACATTCGCGAGTGTACCGCGGTTCGAGGTTACATGTGCGACTCGATGTTTGCAGTTCATATAAAATTGTGTTGCTTTGTATTGCATGGATCATACTGAAATTGAGAATCACTTTGTAAGTGATACATTCGACTACAAAATCCAGAGAGCTCCTATCCTTTGTTCTAAGAGCACTAGCAAGCACATAAAAGCCTACAACTCCCTCGTTACTTGGGCGAATCGTGTGTTTGACGGCTCGTTGGAAAGCCAGCAGAGTGCTCTATCATTTAGTGCAGATCCCAGTTCCTGCAAGGTAGAGGAGAGTCCTTTACATCAGGCTCTTGACATCCTCCGTCAGCCCGAGATGTAGCACCGACACCCGTCACAATGTCTCTGTTCTCTTTGGTTTTGTGGTGGACTACACCTTTCCCCCTTTGCTCGTGTAGTATCTCATCTCTTTTTTTGTTGCAGCATAGCTATGGTGACGACTGCTTGTCTTTGATCCTACTGGGCTTGGTGTGACTCGTTCTTCCTAGCGTGAATGTCGGGAGAACTCTGCTTGTTTCCCTCTGTCAACAAAAAGCTTGCTGTTGTGTGTGGGGCGCTTTCTGTCTGATGGGTTGCGTGTACGCCGTGGTGCAAGAGGGTTGACTTTCAATCGTTCATAGTGTACAGTATCACCTGTGGTTGACTCGGCATCTGCTGTTTGCAAGGCATCGTTGCTGTTTTTTTTGTCAGTTGCAAAGCGCTGTCGTTGTTTACATCTGCCACACAAAATCTGGTTTGTCGCCACCTGCACATTTGCCTGTGAAACGGGTAAGGGCACAATCGGGGTTGACCGCGCTAGCGCTTGTCCGGCTGGCGAATCTGATTGTACAGTTGTTGAAACTGTACAATCATGCAATTGATGTGTTGTCGTTTTTCTTCTTCCGGCTCTCGGTACAGAGCAGCACCCTCATCCTCTGCTTCGGGGCTCCCGAACAGCGCCTTAGCTTACGAATGTTTGATTCCTAACCAGCGAGCTTCGGGGCAGTCCGCACAGTTGTGGGACTCGCAACCATTTCCTTCCGCGAGCCTGCAACAAATTGACAATACACGTACGGAGAAGCCCCTGACTGTACACCAAACCCAAACCTGACTATTTGGTATGTAGCACCACGCTCGAACCAGCACACCCGAGCCTGGATGCTGATGCGCCTGCCGAACAGGGCCCAAGGAAGTGGCGTCCCCCAAAGGCGAGGAGGCTCGCAACACCTAGCACAGACTTCGTCGCTCCTGCTGACAGTCGCCCGTAGTCGCCCGCATCATTGCGTCGGTGCCAAACAGCTAGGCATCCTTGTCGTCAGTCGCTTTCCTGCCGAGTCTACACACGATGCTCGAGAGAGCCCCCATACTTGCCTTACGCTTTGGGCGTGTAAGTGTTTCTTGCATTTCGCGGAGGTTTCGTGATTTCGCAGCTAGCAAAAAGGGCCTATAGAAAACATTGTAACTACCCGTTGACTTTTTGACTTCGGTCCCTGCAAAATTCGACTTCAGTCACTTCGTTACCATTGGTTCATAACCAGTGGTCCCACCTTGTTTGGGGAGCTTGTAAACAGGGGGCAACTTCCCGTCCCCAATTGTTCGTGGGCAGAGTTTTTACAGGGGAAAGATCAAATTCGCGCGCAGCAGTTGAGCATCTCGTGTAGTCATGTCGTCGAGGGCCCTAGAAACAGTTGGAGCCGAAGCTCGCAGCTGGGTTTCCGTTGATGGCGCGGCCAAAGCTGGCGTTCTTGGCCCGCCGCTGGTGCCCCCAAAATTCTCAGGCCGAGGCTCGAGTATACCCGACGACGACGGACGTCGTCACGACGGATGCATCCGAGGATGTTTGAATGAGCAAGGCGACCGAGGGTGGCCCGGCAGCGATAGGGACGGGAGCGACGGGAGAAGCGCGAGAGAGTGGGAGCGGGAGCAGACTAAAAGTTGTCCCATCGTGGGGACAGCGCCTTTTTACTACTGTATGGAGGTATTATTGCACAACGTCCGCGAGTGCCTCAAGTGCGACTCTCAAAGCTTCCTCGAGATTCTCGGAGATTTTTGGAATAGTTTTCCAGAGACTTTTCTTTGGAAGCACCAGATCGCTGGGAGAGGGAATTTTAGCAATAGCGGCGACTTGCGGGAGGACTTTTCGCGGCGACGGGCGGCGGGAGGAAACGAGGAGCGAGAGTGCGAGGGAGCGGCTGGTGGAGTGAGAG